AAAGTTCCAGAAAATGGATACATTTTACTCATTGGTAGGTCTTAGGTTTTAATCACGTTACACTTCCGCCCAAGGCATTTCGAGCCACATGGACATCAGTCATGATATGCCGCACATTTCAGGGACTGCAGTTTTCCAAAAGGTAAGACCTGTTATCAATTATTTTCAGTTAATAATTTATAACCAAGTTGCTGTAGCAGTTGAACATTGTTTTACGTTATTGAGAGTTATCAAACATGTCAACTTTACTCTGCTGTTACCAATTTTCCTGCCCCTCCCCCCAAGCATGTAACAAGCTAGCTTGCTAGCTACAGTAGCCAACCTTAGAGACCAAGAAAAGGGAAAACAATAAATTGATCAAAGAAAAAATGTTCCAAACATTCGACACAGAAGAAATAAAATCATCAACCTATCGCCCAGCATAGAGGACATCAAAGGCAGATGGCCCGCTCTATTTGAGGGTTCTCATGTGAGTTACAGGAGCATGAAAATTAAAAATATCCCTAGTCCATTGTTAAAGACTGCACTATTGGTTTAAAACATTTAGCTCTTACATACAAAAATTGTGTTATGTGTTATATGTTGCTTTAAAAAATGTTTTAAGAACAATATGTATACTTGTAATATTTGAGGCTTTTGAGCTGGTTTCATTATTTGTCTTTAAGATTGAGGATGAGTTTCACAGGCTCACAAGGGTGCACCTTGAATCAAAGTTCATGTCCAAGCTGGATGAATACACTCCCAAGCTTCTGAACCTCTTCCAGTCCAAGGGAGGAACCATGGAGATGAGGTTGCAGGCTATCCTACTCAAGGTATCTTTCAATTAGTATATTTCCTGATATTCTTTTTTAGGCATTTTGTGATCAAACTGCTGGAATCTAATGTGCTTATTACTTGAATCTACAGGGGGTAATGTTGGCCTGTGTCTCTACAATAAGAATATGAAATTATTGAATACCTTTTTAAATAGTTAGTATACAGTCAGTGGCCACTTTATTAGATACATAATTATTCATGTTAATAATGTTCAGTTTTTGTTGACATTGTCAGAAAAGTTTACATTCAATTATATGTTGAATATTGAGGTCACAGGTAAGTTGTGCTGTATTTAACTGCATTGATCTGAGGATTGTTTTTAATTCTTTGTAGTCCATGTTGTGGTCAAGAAAAACCTCCGAATATAGGATACTCCAGCACAATAACTTCAACAGTAATGACTTCTGCTAACAAATATGCAATAAA